GGAGTAATAATGACATCTACCTCCAAGGAGTGTTGAGAGGAGTAAATGATCCATGTGAAAGCACTTGCTATAGGACCTGGCATGTAGTAAGCACTTATCACAGTTAGCCTCCATCACCCTCAACATTCTCATCAAAAGTGACTCAGGTAGGAGGAAAACTTAGGGGGGGCAGCTCTCAGACTCCTTCTCCCAGTCCTGATTCAATCCATGTGCTTTCATCTTTTACTGGTTATTAGGGTTCAGTGGTCCCCAAGACCACCCTCAGGTTCAATAATTTGCTAGAGGGACTCACAGAACTCAGAAAAGCCATCATACCCACAGTTACAGTTTATTAAAAGGAAAGGACACAAACTAAAATCCACAAAGGGAAGAGGCACGTGGGGCAGGGTACAGGAGAGACCAGGTGCAAGATTCCAGTTTTCCTCTGCCTGTGGGGTCATGCAAACATTGTTTTCTTCTCCCAGCAACAATTTTGTAGCAACACCCACAGAATATTGCCTACCAGGGAAACTCACTTGACCCTTGGCATCTGGGTTTTTATTGGGGGTGGGTCACATAGACATAACTGACCATCCACATGGCTAATCTTATTCCCGAGCCCCTCCAGAAGTGTCAGGATGATACCAAGCCCAAGAACCCCACCATAAATCACAATGTTAGTACATAGAATCTATGGGACATGGCCTAAGGCCCCCAGGGAAACAAAGACACTCTTAGCAGGCTGGATATTCCAAGGATTTAGAGGTTACCTCCCTGGAGCCAAGGTCAAGGGCCAAAACTTTTTTTTTTGGAATATGCAGGGTGTGGACAATCCAGACCTACTGAGTCAATTCTTTAACTGCACGATTATATATTGTCCTCTTCTTAAAGTTTTATTTGAAGAAATGATTCCATTATACAGAAGGTAAGCTGAGGCCCAGAAATGAGAATGGGCTTACCAAAGGCCACAGAGTGAGCTAATGAGGCATCCTGCCCGTCCAAACTCAGGGCTTTCTCCTTCACACCACAAGCCTCAGTTTGTCCATCTGTAAATGAGGATGCTAGACCAGCACCCCCATGTCCAAGGTGCCTTTTGCTCCTGCCTTTGTAGAAACTGTTCTCCCACTTTTTTCTGCAGTCAGTTTTCTATTGGAGCACCTGGTTCTCTGCTACCTTTGGGCCACCAAGTGTCCTCCTTCACTGTCCAAACTCAGGGCTTTCTCCTTCACACCACAAGCCTCAGTTTGTCCGTCTGTAAATGAGGATGCTAGACCAGCACCCCCATGTCCAAGGTGCCTTTTGCTCCTGCCTTTGTAGAAACTGTTCTCACACTTTTTTCTGCAGTCCAGTTTTCTATTGGAGCACCTGGTTCTCTGCTACCTTTGGGCCACCAAGTGTCCTCCTTCACTAGGGACCTTTTAGCCAGAGAAGATCCTGTGCTAATTTGTTTGTGGTAGGTGGTTCTCACCCTGGAAGCAGCTGGGCCAGGATTCAGAGGCCAGCTGCAGGAGAGATACAGAAAAAAATACAGCCTCTTCCCTCCTTGCTGGGCCAAAGGTTTGGGGATGAAACAGCCCTGCTTCAAATCCTGCCTTTGCTACTAACCAACTGTGGCTCCTTCACTGAGCCTCAGTTTTCTCATCATTAAAATGAAGATAACAATAGTTACTTCTCAGGAATGTTTTGCATGTCCCCAGCAAATAAAGCCACTGTTGTCCATGTTACATCAGAAGAGAGCACAGCTCCCATCTCTTAAATGAGTCAGACTAAGCCTTGCATTTGTAAAAGTGCTTTCAACATCTTAAAACTCCATGATACACATCACTCTCCTCACCTTGCCCCCATTTTTGGTTCTTTAAGATTGGACAAGAAAAGATTACTGTCCAAATTTTACAAAGCAGGACACTGAGGCTTTGAGAGATGAAATTTGCTCAAGGTCACAAAGCAATTTGGGGCCAAAACCCCTGCTCGAACCCAGGTCTCCTGATTTCCTGGATCTTTTCCACCTCTGAGTACATCCTTGTAAGCATCCCGGAATGCCAATCTGCTCTTTATTCTGAATCTGCGAATCAGATTCAATCTGCGAATCTGAACAAACAGGTGAAAAGAAGTTGTTAAATTCCTCATGATGTCTTTTAAACTCACTCACTAACTGTCTGGATTCATTCCCAAGTATTGTTTTTGTCTCCATGAGTATATAGGTAATTGAATGTAGATGGGTTTCCCACCCCGACTTCCCCTCGGAGCTGTCTGGTGTGTCTGTCTTCCTCCCTCAATGACTCACTGATTTCTCTGTACACAAATAAATCACATTGTGTTCCTCTCCCCCTCGCTACTGGCAAGAAACCACAAAGTCGCACCATGAGATATGAATGGACTGGGGGTGGGTGGGGGAGGTGGAGATGGAGGTGGGAAGAGAGAGGAGTGTTTAAATGCTAATCAGTTGGCACTGATGTCAGCCTCAGTTAATCAGATTGTTCAAGACACAAGGACAAGATTGCACCCCGGTGCCAACAGCTATTCGGGCTCATTCACAGGGAAGATGAATGCAGCACCCAGCCGACGCTCTGATGAGATGTAACTGGACATAAAAGAATGTTCAAGGTTTTCTGAACCCAACATGAATCACAAAGGAGGCCCATTCGTGGGGGAGAAGCCAGCTCACAGAGGACAATTATCAGATAATTACTCTTGTAGCCGGAACACTGAAAGAGTCTTTTCTTGCCTGTCCAAGCTTGCCCACTTAACACCTGCGGCAAGTCTCCTGTGGCCCCCTGGGTTTCTGCAGCAGACTCCGGAGGGGCTTGGGATGTCAATTCACATATGCAGTTTGATGTGCTGTTTTGGGTGGCATGTACATTGCACCAAAATCTAGCTTCTGTCCATATGACCACAGCATGTTGATAAGTGTCACAAAAATAAAGAGACCAACAAACAAATTCACCAGTTGGGCTTCTGTGTGTCTCTGTGATGCTAAAACTAACCATGTGGTTTATGTGAATGGGCCACGTTCATGCTCTCTGCTTGTAAACCAAAGCACGTTTATCTAGGATTAAGTTTACCAAAGATTAACCTTAATGATAGCTAGTAGTGTAAACCGTCTATAAGTCTATAGGCTGTCATTTAAAGAGGTGAACTTTGTCTAACACCAAGTCTTGTTCTCAAGCCTCAGATGTAGTCATGATTCATTAAATGGATATTCATTAGGGGCCTAATATGTGTCAGGTCCATGGCCATCCAATAGGTTCTGGGGAGACAGTGATGAATAGGGGAGACATGTCCCCTGTCCTGGAGAAACTTCCTCCTAGAAGGGGCAATGATGGGAAAGAAGCCAAGCAATTATGATAGTGTAATTAATGCTTTGACTTATGTCTTTGGTGGTGTTAAGAGTTAAGGGAAGGAGAGTAAATCTGAGTAGAGATAACAGCATATGCAAAGCATAAGAGATATTAGAGGGGAGGGAAAGAGAGACATTGATTGATTGAACTTGGGAGAACTGAAAGAATTTAGTTACAGCGTGGCAGGCAATGAGAAATAAGGTTGGGGAACTGGCTGGGACAGACAACCTGGAACCTTCCAGGGAAAGGTAAGGAGTCTGAAGTCTGGAAAGATGCCTCTGGCTGCCGTGGATGGAACGAGCTGTGGGGGAAGAGTGGAGGCCAGTGTGGAGGCCGATGCAGGTTACGGTGCAAAGTCCAGGTGAGAAGCAGGCTTTCCACAACAATTTCTGTGAGAATAACAGGATATCTAAAAATGTCTTTTTTAAGGTACAACTTGCTCTCCTTGCTTCTGTCATGGCAGGACCCAGGTTCTTTGGTGCATTGTAAAAATGAAAAGCTGAGCTCATTCAACTCCCTGTTCAACTGGATTGAATGGAACCCTGGTACCTTGACTTCCCATGGGGTCTGGCCTGCCTTGGACATGTCCATACTCTGTCTGTGACTATACAGAGCCACTGCAAATAATCTCCTTAGATGGTTTTTTTCAGAGCGTTGAGCCGAGCCTAAGAGATGATCATTGGATGATCTCCTGGCTTAGGCATATCCAATATTGAGGTGATTTCCCCATCTCTCTTCCCATGGAGGGTGAACTGCCTGCAGGAGAATGTGATGGGGCTTTGCTCTGAGGTCTCACTCTTCCATCAAGTCTTACTTTTCCATCTCTCATCAACTCTAGAGTTAGAGGAAGGCTGGGAGTCTTGGGATCTTCCCATGCCTTACAATGGAGGTGTGAAATCACAGGCAGTCAATCAATGACCCTAACCTCCTCTCCTTCTTTCCTGTCACTCATCTCAGTGCCGATTAACCCATCTCCAGGTGGAGGGAGGGAGTGGGATAGAAATCTGTCCATTTTAGTCCTGAGTAGAAAAATGGGTGGAAAGGGAGAAAGTTGGAAGAACTGATCCATGAGAAGGCTGGGGCCACGGTTCAGTAACTTTCATCAGGATGAGGCCTGGGCACTTGGCCTTGCGTAAGTCATGCCTGCACCCTGCTTCCTGCCACCCTGCACAACCACATTCAGAATGCTAAAATTTCTGGAAACTTCATCAGCTTCTAAGAACTTGCTAAACGCCCCCAAAACACCCCTCCTTTTTCTTCTCCCGCAATATTCATTGGATGTCTGGTGTGTGTTAAGCACTGCAGGATGTCCAAAGGTGAATGACACATCTCCTACCCTAACTTCCCTTCTTTTCCCCCATCTCATCTCATCTCCCTCCTCTCCTCTCCTCTCTACTTGGCTTTCCTCTCTAAAGAAGTCAACAAATATTTATTGGATTTTTTTATACATGGGAGACACTATTGTAGGTGGTGGGGGTATAACAGTGAGCAAAATAAATACAGTTTATATACTTTTACTTTTCGCTCAGCACTAACTTAACTTAGCTGTAAGAGAGGATACAGGGAGACCACAACTCAGCACACAGGATAACAGCATAAGGGGGTCCTGAGGTTACCAGACAGCATCCAAACATCTCGGTCATTCTGCACTGGGACATGCCTGATCACGAGCGGTAATGCTACATGGGTGTGGACCATCTCGTGGAGACAGACAGTGAGCAAGGAAACAAATCACAAAGATTAATTCAGATTACAATAAGGTCTCTGAAGGGAATGGGATAGAAAGTGATAAGGGGTACCTCGGAGGTGAGCTGAGATCTGAAGGACTGTATGTAGCCAGCTGCACAAGGAGGCAAAGGAAGAGAATTCCAGGCAGAGGGGTCAGCATGTGCAGAGGCCCCGAGATGCATAATGCACTTGGCGTGTAAAGAGCAGGGAAACAAGTGTGTGTGGACACACTGTAGTGAGAGAGGGGAAAATGGCAATAGAAGACCTTAGAGACAGAGGTCCGAGGCCAGAACCCAAAAAGCTTTGTAGCCCATCGAAGGAGTTTTGCTCTTACTCTCATTGTAAGAGATCCTATGATCTCATCATCTGCCCCCCATGATTTTTTTTCCATCTTAAAATGCAAAATCTGGTCATTTCCAAGGGTTCATTTGGTGTAAGTCTTGACTAGGGATCAATCCTGGAGATCTGGCGGGAAATCGGCAGTGCCTGGCATCCTAGTCACGTATGAAGATTCCCAGCTATCTTGCCAAAGGTGGAGAACCGTCAGAGGTCATCTGATATTACTGTGCTAGGTGAAGCCCAGGTTACCTGTGCTTAACTTAAGTATAATCAGTCATAGCAAGACCCACTTAGAAGGTTTTCCTGAGATTCAGGACTCTGGTTAGCCAGCTTGGGGGTGGAGATGGTAATAACTCTTATCACTGTTTCTCATCTCTGATTTTTAGCCAACTGAAAATAAGCACAAAGAGCCAGATAGGATCAGCTTTGTTACTGGGGCTGCAGATCACAGCTGGACACCTGCACTGTGTCCTCCTCAAGTGACTTTGATTTGTGTACCAAAGCACAAGTGCAGGAGCCTGGAGAGATGGGGGAGGTAGAGGGAGAGAGATGGGGGAGGGAGGGAGAGAGAGAGAGAGAGAGAGAGAGGAAGAGAGGGAGAGAGGAAGAGAGGGAGAGAGAGGTAAGGAGGAGGAGGATGACAATGACAATGAGAACAAGGACAGAGTTCGACACTGCCAGCTTTTGGTCTAGTGGCTCTGCCCTGGAAAAAGGATCCACTAGATCTCAGTGACTTCCTAATGCCTCCAATCAAATCATCCCTCCTTTTCCTTGGGACGGGAGGGACGGATGGAGAGGAGGAGCAGAAGTATTATTCTTGGGGGGTTCCTGCTGGAGGGAAGCAGATTTTCCTGCTCCCCAGAGAAATGTGAGAGCAGTTGGATACCCCAAGAAAGGCTGGGGTTTGCTCTCTGCCCTCTTCCGAAATCAGGGTGACAAATATAAGGACATTAATTATTACATATTATTACTACAAAAATAGCACACACATGGCAAAATGACCAAACTGTATAAGATGATACACGATAAAAAGTGAATCTCTCTTCCACCACAAAGGAAGATATACAAATGGCCAACAGACACATGAAAAAATGCTCAGCATCACTCAGCATCCGGGAAATGCAAATCAAAACCACACTGAGATGCCATCTCACCCCAGTTAGGATGGCTAATGTCCAAAAGATTCTGAACCATAAATGCTGGGGGGTTGCGGAGGAAACAGAACTCTCATACAGTGTTGGCGGGACAAAAGGTGCAGCCTCTATGGAAAATGGTATGGAGGCTCCTCAAACAACTGCAGATAGATCTACCATATGACCCAGCCATCCCACTGCTGGGAATATACCCAGAGCAATGGAAATCATCATGCTGAAGGGATACAGATACCTGTACTCTCATGTTTATTACAACACTATTTAAAATAGCCAAGAGTTGGAACCAGCCCAATTATCCATCAAGTGGATAAAGAAACTGTGGTATATTTACACAATGGAGTACTACTCTGCTATAAAAAAAAAAAATGAAATATTACCATTCACAGCAACATGGATGAACTTAGAGAAAATTATATTAAATGCACCAAGTCAGGCACAGAAAGAGAAATTCCACATGTTCTCACTTATTTGTGGGAGCTAAAAATAAATAAATAAATAAATGTACAAACAAATAAAGGGTGCAGGGGGAAGACACAACAATCACAACAATTCCTTGAACGTGTTAAGACAAGTGAACAGATATGATATAGTTGGGGAGGGAGGGGGGGGAAATCAAATAAAATGAAATAAACTCTAACATCAAAAAAAAAAAAATCCTTAGTCCTACTCTACTGAGGAAGTCCCCACTGCCTTTTTCAAATGTCTCCTAACTTTACACCCAGGAGAGCTGCTGTCCACACTGCCCAGCCTTGACCGTTCCCGCTTCACGCTGAATCGGGCTGCCACATAGCTCTGCCCTTCTTTTTATTGTGTTTAAATCTGTTACCTAGTTTTTGAGTAGGTGATAGTCTCCCTATAGATGGCTCTTCAAAAAGCTTATGGAGAGATGCATATTATCTTTTAATTCCACTTTCCATGAACTTTTTGAACTACTTTCATATACACATACATATGTACATATACACACATATACATATATATATGTATGTATGAGGGTACTTCAAAAAGTTCATGGAAAGGTTTGTATTATCTTTTAATTCTATTTTCTCACAGACTTTTTGAAGTGCCCTCATGTATGTGAAAAGGTCTATAGTGAAAATTGTCCTTTTCTCCTTTCTTCTCCATCACCCTATTTCCAATGCCCCACGTCCCCTATAACCAGTATAATGAGTTTCCTGTGTCTCCTTCCAAAGTTCCTTTATGCACATATAAGCAAATGCAAATATACGTAGTCTTACTTTCTATTCCTGTTTTAACAAGGAAGGTAACACACTCTGCACACCATTTTGCATCTTGCTTTTTTTTCTTTAAGAAGAAAAAAGGCTTCTTTTCTGCTAATAGGAGTGAGCAGCCACTTGTTCATATAGTCTGGAGACATCATTCCTAAAATTTTACCCTACACCGCCACCACTGCCTACCCCACCCCTGCAAACAAAGAACTGTCATTACAGGTCAATTCTGAGCTACTCGCCTCCTGTGTCTATGTTGACATATGGCTGAACACAAGTGAAACTTGCTGTCCAGAGTATTCATTTTTTAAATTTATTTTTAATTGACAAATCAAAATTGTATATATTTAACGTACACAACATGATGTTTTGAAATATGTGTACATCGTGAAATGGCTAAATCCATCTAATTAACATATGAATTAGTTCACATACTTATTTTTTGTGGTGCGAACACTTAAAATCTTGTCTATTCATGATTTTTAAGAATTCAATACCTTGTTACTAACTATAGTCACTGTGGTGTATCATACAAGGTGCTTCAAAAAGTTCATAGAAGATTCATATTTTCTTCTAATTCCATTTTTTCACGAACTTTTTGAAGTACCCTCGTAGATCTCTTGAATCTATTCCTCCTGTCTAACTCAGACATTGTATCCTTTTACCAACATCTCCCCCCAAGCCCCTGGTAATCACCATTCTACTCTTTACTTCTACGAGTTTAACTTTTCTAGAACCCTCTGCACCTTGCTTTTTGTATTATTATTATTATTGATTATACATATTTATGGAGCACAGAGCTGATCATCAGCACCTGTGCCCAAGATGTGATGATCAGATCAATACTATCATCATGCGCACAACGTCAAATGCAGTTACTCCCCGTATCCCCCACCCAACCTCGCCCCACCCCCTATTCCTCCTGTCTAACTCAGACATTGTATCCTTTTACCAACATCTCCCCCCAAGCCCCTGGTAATCACCATTCTACTCTTTACTTCTACGAGTTTAACTTTTCTAGAACCCTCTGCACCTTGCTTTTTGTATTATTATTATTATTGATTATACATATTTATGGAGCACAGAGCTGATCATCAGCACCTGTGCCCAAGATGTGATGATCAGATCAATACTATCATCATGCGCACAACGTCAAATGCAGTTACTCCCCGTATCCCCCACCCAACCTCGCCCCAACCCCCCTCCCCCTTCTGCCCCACCCCTGGCAATCCTAGGTCTGTTCTCTCGCTCTGCAAGTACAATGCACCACCGTGATCTTTCTTTCCTTCCTTCTTTCTCTCTTAGCGCCCACTTATGAGTGATGACACGCTATACCTTGCTTTTTAACATCACAGAAACCTTGACCATCTATCCCCTTCAGTCCGTAGAGAGCTTCATCATCCTCTTCTTACAGCTGCACGGCATTTCACCTGAATGTTTAACCTTTCTGATGGATACTTGGTTTGTCTCCGCATCTTTTGCTACTCCAAGCAGTGTTGTGTTGCTTAACCTCGTGTGCACGTCATTTTGCATGCAGGCAAATTTCTCTCTGCAGGGTAAATTTCCAGAAATGGACTTCTGAGTGGAAGGAAAGATGTACTTGTAATTTTGAAAGTTCTTGCCATGCTGTTCTTTATGGTATTCACCAGTGACTTTATCTCATGCCTTTAAACCTGCAGGGTTTAAAGGCATAAAGGCATGACATAAAATCACTGTAGGTATTCCATTGCGTGTTTCTACAACCATTTAACTAATCTCCTATAGATGGGCATGTAAGTTGTTTCCAGAGTTTTGCTGCTACAAACAATACTTTGTATTGTGAAAACTTTGCACCATCCTAGTGGGTGTCAATGACTAAATGTCTCTCTGCTTTGGGACATGAGCAGGCAGCCCATTTACCTAGAAATCTATCACTGTTTAAGTAGAGCTTCTTTTGCTCTCAGGCCATTGAATCTACACTTTTCTTCCTAGCCCTCGTTTGCCACGGGTCTTCAGCCTGGTCTGTTGCATAAACTCTGGCTGATGTGAGGCAGACCCGCAAAGCACCCTAGAATGAGCTCCCTGGCTGCTCTTGAGCAAAAGTGTGGGGAGGCAGGTGAAAGGTTGGGACCGACTATGGGCACAGCTTCAAGTAAAAGTGGCAACTAGGGAAGGCCAAAGGGTACCTCAAAATCACCTAGAGGACTTTGTAGAAGTTGGCCTGTATCCAACTGACCCAGATTCCAATTCAGACGATCCAGTTTAAAGCGAAGTGAAGTGCTGAT